TGAATTATATCCAGATTACTTTGAGACCACCTCGAATGGCTCAATGGTGCCTATGCTTTAAGAACTTCTGGCTATTTTCCTCTATTCCATGTTGCATGGGTGATGGACGCTGCACGGGTGGACGTCTCGTCTACAGAGATGGCAGAGAAGATTGCAACTCTGACAGATCGCTTCTGGTCCGGTCACGACGCCGACCTGGGTGTCGTCTTTTCTCCCCGCTACACGCATTCGAACGACATATATCGCTTTGCGTAAAGATGTACGAGTCGAATGAAATCTGAATATTTACTTGCAAGCTCTTTTGACCCTTTCATTCCGTTGCCGACTGGTATCGCTCATATCGTGACGGAAGACATCCATGCACAAGAAGGCGACTGTTGACTTTTGACAGATCTTACTACAAGCGCTGCGCACGAAAATTTCAGGTGAGGTAGACATCTGGACGCACCCAACTCAAGTATGTGTCCGCACTAGACTTTCCTTGAAGCACAACGTAGAAAAAACGTGCTCTACCAGCACGGTTTCTCTGTTTTGCAAGCTCATTTTTGGCATGAGCATATAGAGTGACAAAAAAGTAGAAATTTTAGAAGTCCAACCGGACAGAAATAACTATAACGAAATAGAGTGACGCCACACTTTCGATGTCATATGTAAGTGACGCATAAAGTACAGCTCTGTGTATCGTGCGATGCCTTCTCATATGCCAGGTACTGATAAATACAAAAAAAATCAACTTTTCAGCATGACATTCACCAACAACCTCCTTCGCTGCACTTCCTGAAAACAGCTCCGACACCGGGCTGCACCCGCTTGGAGACCACTCGGAATTGGCCGCCCCAAATATGGTTTGCCTGCCATACCATGCATCTACTAGACGTACAATTACGCTGGTTGGTCGAAAGGCGCGCCGTACCTCTGCCCGAACTGGTAGAAGGCGGGACCGGCAGCCGCGATTCTCAACGCGTAACGATGCGTATTTATTCCGGTAGATACAAATGTCGCTCCTGGGAGAGATGTGCCGCAACGATGCTGAAATAGAGAAGTTTTTCTGTGCTCCCAGACAACTAATGCTGTGGACATAAAATTGGCAACCGTAATTGATGCGTATTAACACGGAAGTGGCATGTGTAAACAAGCAAGTTTTGTCACCATAAGAGCAAAACGGGAGGACAAGAGGACAAGGGAAGAGGGCATGACGGAGTCAGGGAGCTGCAAAATTACGGCCTTATAGGCCAAACCTACCGGGATTAAATCAGGCTTTCAGGTGGCGAGGGTTTCAGGTTTCAGATGCGTCGTTGTGTGTAGTGCGTAATGATATCAGTTTTTTAAAGCGCAATCTTGAGTATTTAAATTAAACTTATTTTGTTGGCCGGTCATTTGTCAATTTGTTATGCTGCTGGCGAACTAGCCCACATGAAATTAAAATGGTTCGCATGATACGAGACACATCCATACAAGAGGAATTTTCGCGCACCTAAGGTAGCGCAACAACAATCTAATTATAAGCATGCAGGTGGCGGTCCTATTAAAAACTCATGCATGTTCTTCTCCACTTGTACAACAAACCGTTGTTCTTACAGCGCATTTACGTTAATCCATCTGAAACAGTTTCCTTTAAGCCTCGATCCCACACAAGTTTTGCTTAAAGTAATTGTTCATTATAAGCCGTTGAACGCAAATGAGTATTGTTGAGTATTGCTGATTATGATTATGTTATAGGTTACAATTGCCCGCACCATGGCATAGCTGAATCGGAAAATATAGTACGACGCCAAATTCAGCCAGAAAGTGTCCTGCACCCTTGCCTGCACCGCTCGCGATTCACGCAAAAATCGTAACTTGAATAAGGCAGTATTTTACACGGGACACGCTGTGGGCTAAATCGAAGAACAAAAAAATGACCTTCAAACAGATTGGCTGACTAGCGTCAAATGGCTTGGTCCGCAAACCCCGTACCTGGATCCTTTAATGTAGCAGGATATGTAACGTCCCACAGAAACGAAGGATATATGTTCGTCGTACAGAGCAGTGCAGCAGTGCAGTGCAGTGCATTAAGCTCTACATAGCTGGGGCCTTCAGATACGCAAAGGTTTGAGAGGTCACGCTGGAAATCTCCGAAGTGCGGCGATGACTTAAGTCCTTCATGACTAGCGCTGTCTCCATCCCCGACAAGCAAAAATACATGCCGCGACCGATGGCCGCCATAAAAATGTTTCTTTGGCGCCGTGAGGCGGCCTGTAAAGGGTCGTCGTTACTTTCAGATCAGAATGGACAAATGCTTGCAGTGTCCCTTCCCCACCCCTCTTGATACGTCCCTGCAGGATTCTATGCTTTTAAATTAAGGTATGATAAAAATTATGCGAAAATTTGCAATACAAATTGCCATTCACCCAATCAAAGTGGGCCAAACCTTGAGGAAAATATGGAGGGGGAGGAGGCCGTCGGGCCCTCGGCTCGGCCCAGCCAGCGATGCACAGAAGTTGACACACTTGCTCAACAGCAAAATGGCAAAGGATTCAAAGCTTGACCCGTATGCGCTGCGTCCCGTGTGGGAACAAGTGATAATAACACGGAGTCATAAAAGGCTGCCAGCGTGGATGCCGAGCCAAAAGAAGAAAACAAAACATAAAAACACACCAACGGCCCAGACGTGGCGCTGCTCTCCGGGCAAGCTCTGACACCCAACAGCTGGCGATGCTTAGACTCCCCGCCATGCATCCCATCCGTTCCTCTTGAACTTGTCTTACCATCTGAACGAGTACGTGACCTCTATGTATCGTCCTGTGTCACCCTACTACCTCCATCTTCGACCGTTCGGACCACTCAAGGTCCGATGTTTCAGGTCCGAGCCCCTGGCATTGATCTCTGTGCCCCGCGGCAACTACCGTCAGGGAGAGCGAGGGGGGCTCAGCTGATGACCCTAAACAACGGTATCCAACACTAAATTGCCCCACTCGGCCGCCCACCTGTAATCTCTAAATTTCTTTCTCATATGCCAGACCTCCACCCTCCACGACTGCCTACACCCCTGCCCTCCCTGTTGCCCTCCCCCCCTCCTCCCTGTGCGGCCGGGGGTCCTCCCGAGGCTTCGGCAAACTGCCTCGTTGCAGATCCTGCCTGAACTCACCATGGTAACGGCGACGACGGAGAGACGCGTCTCGGTGGCGGCCGGTATTGATTGCCACCGGAGCGTTGCTCGAGCGGAGTGAGACTCAGACGCCGGTCATGGCGGTGGCCAGACGTCTCCCGCGCCGCTGCTGACCCATGTCACACCAGGTCAGTGGGGTCAGGGCGCCGGCGAGACGGCGCGGGGGAGGGGACAGTGGGGGAGGGGAGGGGGACTGGCGGTGAGGTCAGAGGCGTGGGTGAGGTGCGGGGTGTGGTTGGCAAGGTCGGCGGAGGAGATTGCCATAATCGCCTGAAACTCAAATCACATTCAAGGTCAGGTCGCCTTTAAGGTCAAGCCACCGAGATCACTGCGGTTAGTTGACGGAGAGGTGTCGGTGGGACCATGCTTATGAGGGGGTTAGATGCAAGTTGTCCCCGATGGTGGCCAATGGAGGAGAGTCACTGAGAAAGATCAGGCAGGGTGAAGGTCGCAAAAGCAAGCTTGATGGAAGGTTATCTGAAATATAATGGAAAAAGGTCATGAAATGGGGTCATAGAAAGACGTTTACGGAGAGGACTGCTGAAGCTCTTGCTAACGACAAGCGTTTAACGAGACTCTCTGAAGAGGCAGACATGGGTCAGGTTATTTGAGTATGACTTTCGAGTAAATCATCATGGACAGGAAGTGAAGGCGTCCTGTTTATATACGACGGAGATCATACACAATTGGCTCGCGCATAGAATGGTCCCTATACTGATCCGCTTGTTATTGTCAGCTGAATCCAGGGGTCTTGCAAAATATTCCGACAGCCCATGCCTTGACAATCAGCAATTAGTTTATCGTCCATCTGTTTCGAGGAGGAAGGAGAGACACTAATGGACTGCTGTTGCTGTGCATAACAAAGCCAGGGATGCACTTTGCTTTTCGGTCTGGAGGGCTCAGTTAACAACTTTGCTTTTCGGTCTGGAGGGCTCAGTTAACAACTTTGCTTTTCGGTCTGGAGGGCTCAGTTAACAATTTCGACAAAAAAGGTCTAAACCGGGAGAAACCCGTTCGTTGGCGCATTTTTGGGTGGGTTGTATTATTATTTACTGCTCGGCCACTGCCCTCCCCCAACTCATTTTGCAAAATTACGTCCTGAGCAAAGTAGCTTGGAAAAGATGAGATGGCTCGCAAGAAGCGGCTCGTCGAACACTGCTGAAAACGACTGCATGATATATAACACATGTATATATACATATATGTATAATATATATATATATATATATATATATATATGTATATATAAACATATCTATATATATGTTTTAAATATACATGTACATACACACACATATATAGATATACATATCTATATGTATGTTTTAAATATACATGTACATACACACACATATATAGATATACATATCTATATATATGTTGTATATATATAAATATGTATGTATAATGTATGTATGTATATGTATATATAAACATATCTATATATATGTTTTAAATATACATGTACATACACACACATATATAGATAGATAGATAGATAGATAGATAGATAGATAGATAGATAGATAGATAGCTAGATAGATAGATAGATATATATATATATATATATATATATATATATATATATATATATATATATTTGTTTTGCTGTTACCAGCGTCAACAGCAATTTGTGAGAATGATGAATGGGGAAACGCAGGTGATCAAATGATTTGTGTCTGTCAAGTGGCTATTGCTATCTCAGTTGAGAAAGAGGGAAAGAGAGGCAGAGGGAGGAAAGAGATTACAAAAGTATGACTGGGAGGAGGAGAGAGGACTGCATTTCCATGTGCATTGGCCGTCACCACGCACCCACGGTCAGCAGCCGGGGCACCAATACTCTGCGTTCTGCATGACGGTGAGTAATAGAAGCCATCGTGACGCCCCCGACGCGTCCTCATTCGCCTCAAGGCCGTCATAAAGTCGACTTCGGCAGGCTCATTCTGGGTAATGGACGGCATGCCTTATGCTGATGGCTCGAGAAGCGTATCGCATCGGATCACGCTCCCATGAAATTCCAATTCTCGATGGATCCTCGTGATGAGAATCACATGACGAAGCGCTACACATTTCGTGATATTTTTATTTTTCATGCTTGTTGAGTTACATTGGGCAGCGTGTAGCTTTGCTTTGAAATCATATTATCTTCGCTACATTCTGGGACATGACAAGCGGCCAGATAATTTGAAATGCCTGTAATTTGCATGCTCGTTTGCATACACTTACGTCAAAGTAAAGAGTTGCTTGCCGCAACTAATTTTTAGCCTTTGATTTTATTCTGCATATGGCTCGAACCTCTCCTTTGGATGGATTTCTGGTATTAGCACTCACGCTAAGCAGTGGTCATAGTGTGAACCCTGACATTTCCGTCCGATCGCGGACTTCCAGACCAACAGCAGAATTTCGCAGTGCAGGCCAAATATGCCGCAATGCTCGGCACAGTCCATGCTGCCCTCTGACGTTACCCTGACTTTTAACGCGGCCGCTGCCACCGACCGCAGGCCAGAGCAACCGGGGATAAGTAGCGAGCGCCTAGAGCAACTCGAACCACCCGCCAAGGGTGGGTGAATTAAATGACTGGAATGCAGGCCCTGTGACAAATTGAGTCACTGGGTCGGGCTCGTGTTCATCTTCTCTGGTCTAACGAAGTACATCAGTACCTTCTTCTTACAAAACATGACTCATCTATATCTCCAGGGGCCAATCGGCAGAAAAAGGTAGTATTTACGGCGCACGCTGCCTGCCTGCGTTGGTCACTTTGACTAGATGGTCACGGGTGCAAACTAGAGCATGCGTAGAGCAGTTCCCTTTCAAAGAGAGGCCCAAATCGCTGCATAGAAAAACCTCAAATGACGTCATTATGACCTAGCAGACACTCCTTAGTAGTGGGCAACTGACGCATGGAAAACCTTGACTATCCGTTAGCCAACCATGGAGCACAATACAAAACGGGGGATTAATCGCACATCAAAACACGTTGCATCAATCGTGCCTGTGTGGTCTGTACACCTTATGCCACGACCTCTAAAAAATGCAGAATCTCACAGGCATTGTCGTCCTTTCTCAGATCTTTTGTCTTATCCTCATTTGTCACAAACAGCCGAAAGTTCTCAGCGTCGTCATTCGCTGACATCGCACGCTTCCATGCCATTCAGTTCTGCATGGCATGGAATGACCGAATGACATTTTACATGTCCAGTTGGGCGGCCAGACCGTATTAGCTGTACTGCGCGGGCCCGGATCTCCGTAATGCTAAAGCACCGAAGGAATCCCCGCATTGGGGCGGTTTGCCATGTTCGAGACGCCGCATTTCTTCTGCTTCACCAAATGTTGGGAAGTCCCACTCAGATAACACAGGAGTAATAGCCTTATTCCTCGGAGAAAAACCAGGAGAATGGAGATGTAGATGCGTTGGTAGTTCGGCAACATCCGTTTATTGAAACAATAGCAGACGTGAATTCAAAATGCTATGAATAAACTTCAATTTCACAAATGAGTTGATAAATGACATTTTTGGCAATTTTCATTTTACTTCCGCTATTGTTTCGATAAACGCATACCACCAAAATATCAAGCAGCCTATGCCTTCATTCTCCTAGTTTTTCTCCGAGGAATGAGGCTATTATTAATGTCTTATCTACGTGAATAATGTTCCTCACAAATGCACTGAACAACTGAAGTCTCACTTGCACTAATTCGCGCGTGAGATATAACATTTCGCCTCAGAGCTTTTTGACCTAAGGAAATCGTTTTTGACCATGAATTAAAGTTTCTACCAATGCTCGCGCAAACAGCTATTCATATTAAAATTCGACAGGAATTTGTGGAATGCCTTTTGACTGCAGTTGTTCCCGTGGAAGCTATGCAACCACATCGGGTAGCGTTTGGTGATAAACGACATTTCTGGAAGAATGGTGCATTTGCGATAAGCTACGATGTTGATAACGACTATGCTTACAAATGGCGACTGCTTACAGGGGTTAGACTGAATAGGCTTCTTAATTGTCGCCTCGTGTTTTTCTCTGATATCATAGCCTGGAATGGTGGAAATACTGACTTGAAATTTCTCCCCATATTCCGTCACACAGCGACCTTTTGTAAAAAGCTTACCATGCTTGGGCCGGAATAACTGCCCAGGACCATGGCCGCTGAGGAATTTCTGCCCTCAGCTTTCAGTCTTGTCAGGTATTTCAACAGCGATCTTCACGTTACACGTTCGTGGGCGTCTTCAGAAAGCAGCCGTTTGCGATGATTTGAACGTCAGCTTGTTGCCCCATTATTTCTATCGAGTAGCAATGAATGAGTTGAGATCAGTGTCACTAGTGACGTCACTGGTCAGGTAAGTGGAGAATGTTAGACGGTTTCCATCACACAAATCTGCACCGAAAATCGGGCAATAAAATTGGGCAATTTAGAGCTCTGGAAAGCAAAGAGCATACAAAGAATGTAGTCGGCCACCAATGAAGTAGGCACCACGCCGTGTTTTCAAGCATTAAAATACACTAAGTCAAGTTTGATCAGATCGGGTCACGAATTGGAATCGTCTCTTTGACTCATATATGTGGTGATGTTCATAGCTGGCAAAGTGATCTGTTGGCAAAGGGATGAACATTTCTCCAAGACGGCCCGGGATTTGCTACGTACAATGTCATTTCGGTGAAGAAGCAAGCTTTTAAGTAACTTTCTCTCCCCAGTGTTATAGCGTGACCCAGCGGATTTCATAACGGTGGTATAGGAGCTAAGGTTCTCTGACGGTACTTACATTCACCAGCCATTGCACTTCGTTCCAATGTCATTGTTAGCAGACGAAACAAGTGGTGAAAGCTATGACGTCATTGCGAATCAATCTGCACCAGCCCTGGACATCTTTTGTTGAAATAAAGCCTAACGAATGCTCCTTTGAAAAAACCGAAAGTTTCGGGCTCTAAAACCTATTAAGCTGTCACCGCTGAACAACTTAACTTGAGACGACAAGAGACCCCTAATCGTCCCCGCGGGCTGGGCGTGGTCGGTTTCTGGCAAGCAGGGGCTTCATCTGACGCTGTCATCGATCCTCGAGAGCGGCGGCCGGCGACAGGGATCGGGTTCCGCGCGAGAGAAGTGCGTGCCGGCGCTCGGCGACACGCTACGCTCGGCTTACGGCCGTCCGCTCCGTTTCCAGTCAGCGCACGACACCGTCCTGGGCAGTCGGCAGGCCGATGCGGTGGTGATTGGCCGTGTTGATGGTGACGGGTTTTCTTTGAATCACGGTTGACGGTTTTGACGATATCTGGAGTGTTTGCTCATGAAGTCTGGAATATTTTCCGATGACATCTGGAGTATTTTCTCATGGGTCTGAAGGATTTTGTGCGATGCAGGCGTACAGAAGTCTTTCTGATGTAAAGGTCGCGGCAAATTTCAATACTGGCTATGCGAGTGGGTCAAACTGAGATGCTTACGTTTGAGGTCACGGTCTGTATTCGCTTTGTTCAGATCGCAAGTCAATTGCATCGTCTCTTATTGCGATCTCATGGCAAAGATAGGTGCTGGCGGGGACTCGTGAGGTAAAGGGGGATGAACAGCATTCAATCCGATAATTTAGGTGATGCCTATCGCTTTCAAATTAAAAATGTCTTTCTTGAACCTTCAAAACTCCAACTACTTCTACGTGTTCCCCTCGAAACCCTTAAACCGTGGCTTAAACAGGATTTAAATATTTCAATAAACTATCAAACTGCATCCACAACACGTTTTGCCCCCCCCCCCCCCCAACTAATCGAGATTTCTAGCGCCCGTGTAAGGAAATCGACCAGGCTGTGTCGCTGCTGACCTTGATCAGCGCCATCTGCCAGGCCAGTCCCTCGTTCAGCGTCGCCCACGTCCGTGGCATGCTGAGATCATAACAATCCCCCGTATCGCCTTGCACGGCGCCGCATCGCCGAATGCCGCGACCCGCTTACCCCGGCTGAGTCTGCTGCACGCGCCACTGCCGCCTCCATCACTCACGTGCCCACTGCGCCGGCGATTCTCCGCACTGGAGCGCTCGATCCGTAAGCAGAGAGCACCCCTCACGCTCCCGAAACGAGCGCGGAGCGCCGGGAGGAGCGGCGACGCGTCTCGTCCCTACGGCTCTCGGGCGCTCAGCTGGACTCTGCGCTCTCAGCGGACTCTGGACTCTGCGCCCTCTCTGGACTCTGCGCTCTCTCTGGCCTCTGCGCTTTCAGTGCCGTGTGGAAACGGTGACAAGGCGCTGGAATGCCATGGCTGCTTAATAGGTTTCCGTATGGGATTGATAAAACCCACGTCGTGAAAAACTTCCTGTATTTATCGGCCTGCGCGTTCTTTGCGATGTCGCTGGCCGGTCAACCGTATTCTGACAATATGCGTCTGAAAGACCTGCGTATGGCTTTTATTTGACCGTTGGTTGAGGTAGCATCTTTTCGCTGATCTCAACTAGCAGGTCAATACATACATACATACATACATACAAATGATATACAAATGGATGTCAGCATGCAACAAAGAATATTATGTAAGATGTGCCTAAACTGTCCATATAAGCCCACGTCCAAAGCCCGTTTCACTAAACCTAAATCCCGGACCCTCGCGTTCCGCGGCAAATGCGCTCTAGTTTCTGGGACGTTATCACATCCTTTTCCTGGTGAAATACACGAAAGCGCAATAGCAAACTCTGCCAAATCCTTAGAAATATCCTAAGATAGCATCGCATAATATGCTGCGGGTCCCGCTGCGACCGCTGAGCATATTCCGGAGTCATTTCCAATTCTGAACGGTGTCTCCTGCTCGTCATTCAGACATTCGGGCGGGAGAGCTCGCCAACGCAGCATTTCTCTCGAGGCAAGTTGGGATTCGGAACGAGGCGCGGCGAGGGGGGGGGGGGGCGTGAGCGGCCACAGAGGTACTGGCGGGGGTGGGAATGAGGGTTCGGCGCTGGCGGGGACAAGGGCGGGGCGGAGGCGGAGACAGGGGCGGGGCGGGACTTCATTGATAGCCCGTTCGCCATATTTCCATACTGATCTCCTCTTTTTCCTGCAAGAGGGTCTATTTCTGGCGCTGTAATCTGATTTCCGATGGTCATGGCTTGTGTGTTCAAGGTGACTGCTCATCGTCATTGGGCCTTTACGACGCACTCAGCTGCTGAGGCTATGATGGCGCCATCTGCCTGTCACCCTGGCGGGAAGGGCGGGTACCGCGGGAAGTCAAACCCCGCACCTCTGGTCTCCCACACGCGCAGTGACTAACGCAGACGCGTTAACCACAACACTATCGGCTCCCAAGGGGATTGCCCATCGTAAGCCTGCATGTTCTGTGAAATCGCGCTTTGCTATACCCATCGTTGACCAGCAGATGTCTGGTTCGCTGTTATTCCCAGCCTAAGAGAATCACGAAGAACAATGTCTGAGTGTTCTTAGAACAGAATGGACAAAGCGTTCCTTGCGCTGTTCAGTGTACGCACTTGTCATCAGACAATAGCGAGGGTCTGACGGTTTTCTGGACACGTCGGAAACAGAGCAATAAAACGCCTTCGTTGTGCACAACAACATTGAGGGAGTGCAGCTTACCGTCAGAGCTTAACACTTTCGTGAACTATAGACCCGATGCTGCCTGTGGTTTTCCACAAGAACATTACGGAAGCGCAGTTTACCGTCAGAGCTGAACACTTTCTTGAACTATAGACCCGGTGATGCCTCCGGTTCTCAGCAGATGACCTCCAGCTGTTCCAGGCTAGCTACATCGAGAAAGATATGTGATGCTAGCAGAACGTGCTTAATTCGACCCTGTCATCCGTAAATACTTAGCAAAGGTAAATACTTATATTATTTCTTATTACGTAATAAACCTAAGAACTCGAAAACGTACCTACTTGGAACCTTCGGAGCTTGGGAATGACGTTTTCATGGTGTAAAGCTTCGGAGTGTCCGCTGCGCAGCATCACGTGACAATTGTTGGGCAGGTCTGTCCAGCTGGGAGTGCACATAATGCTGAACTGTGTCTCTATTGTGGTTTCATTAACTGGGGTCTTTCCAAAAATGATAACGACATCTAAAAAGGCAATGTCATCCTTTGCCCGTGTACACTTTCGGGTGTCAATGAACTAGTGAGTAGAACAAAGTAAGGATACCACTGAGGTGCATGGTGTTTTGATGTTTTTTAAAGCTTTTTCTGTTTCCATGCGGGAGAAAGTATTTGCAATAAGATCGGACGGTGGGGTGGCCAGCTTTATTTGTTTTTGCACTGTCATAGAGAAACCCAGGGCTACATTCGCTTATTCTTTTTTCAAAATGGGCGCCACCGAATTGTGCACTTGCCACATCAGTCAGTTGATTAAGCTGCTTCCCTGCGCAATCGGCTGGATGAAGGGTAAGCTGGCGATTTAGTTCCGTCCCCGAGAATGTTGCGAGCTTCTCTGAGGTCAATCCTGTTCATATAAGACGATGTTTCTCTCTCTCTCTCTCCTCTCTCCATCTCTCCTCTCGCCAGGAGAGGACGAGAAGCGCTCTTGACCGCTCGATCTTGACTCTCATCTCCGACTTCTCTCTCTCTCTCTCTCTTCTCTTTCCTCTCTCTCTCTCTCTCTCTCTCTCTCTCTCTCTTTTCTCCCTCTCTCTCTTTCTTCTCCTCTCTCTCCCTCTCTCTCTCTCTCTCTCTCCCTCTCTCTCTTTCTCTCTGTCTCTCTCCCTCTCTCTCTCTCCTCTCTCTCTTTCTCTCTTCTCCCTCTCTCTCTCTCCCCCTCTCTCTCTCTCCCTCTCTCCCTCTCTCTCTCTCTGCCGCTCTCGCATCTCTTGTGCATGTGTAAACATATGCGGGCGCGCAAGTATATTGAGATATTTCACCGAATCGGCTGCCTCGCAAAAGCTCTAAAAGTAGCCACCGATGGCAGAGCGAGAAGCTGCAAAGCGTTCTCGCCAAAAGCGTTTTGAAGAAGACGCGCCACGTGTGCCTCGGCCACCGCCCAATGATGAGTCACCAGCAGAGTAAGCGCTGTCTAGACGCCGCACGTTACACGTGCAGAATACGGTCGCGGCATCTGCCTGCCGCACTCAGCAATGCTGCCACAGACTGCTCGGTCAGCAGCCACGGGCGATTGAAACTGAAGCGTGCTTAAGTGGTGGCGTCAGGCTCGCACTAAGTCGCCCTGCGTCAGGGGACTGAGCGTGACCAGTGTCCCAATGCGGAGCGGACGCAGCTTTAAATCCTCGGGCACGTATCTCGCTGTTGGATGTGCCGGCTGTTAAACCGGCACATCAAAGTGATGGACCGATTTCGAGTGCTCTGTAATCTCGCCCTAATAATGCAACATGTTGCGGCCCAGGTGGCAAAAGGCCGGTTCAGTGGAGACCATCATGAAATCTTTCTGCTTTTAGAGGCGTGGCACGTGGGAAAAAACGTAGGAAAAATGTTATGCTATGGGCACGTGCCTGGATTCCCCAAAGGCTTTCCAGGATCCTGAAAATACGGATCCCATCACATATTTTTACACGCGCTCTGAGTTTACAGTTTGAATTACGGCAAATAACGCCATGGTGCAAAATTCGATAGTTCGTTCAGTGAAAGCCATCTTTTGGACAATCTTTTGGACATCATAAAAACATCTTTTGGACACCATCAAGCGGCGTCAAGTGTAACATCGGTCACAGTTTGTTGATGCACACTTCGCGTAAAAAGTGTGACACACCTTGAAAGTTGCAAAGGCAGGTTTTGGGAATGGAAGAAAGGTTTCGCGTGCTGACGGATCCACACCTAACATAAAAAATGCGCTGGAACACAAAGGGGACTAGTGAGGTTCATGAAATGCCATGTTTTGGAGTGACGCTGTGCTCGCATGCCCACCGCCCTCGCATTTCTTATGAACGAGTCCTAGTTAATTAGCTATCGAGTTTGAGGAATGCGTCAACTGGTATGATTACCTGCACACAAATATAAACCGAGTCCGCATGAACGAGTCGGCATAAGCAAGTCCGCACCACCTGCAAAGAAAGTCAACATTAGAAGGAGGCAAAAGACACCAAAGGTTTGTCTCCAGCAGGGAAATCAAATAAATTGTGCTTGGGACAGCTTTCTCGGGAGAAGTGAGAAGCCGGTGATGGAGATGATGGGGTATCGATTGCTTTCATAGATGACGACCTGTTCTCTAGCTTCAGACCATACGATACTTCGGTTGCCAGTGGTTACAGGTCCCTGTCAGTCACAGCTGTCATGTTACCCGGTGTTGTCTGAAGGAGACGAAGCGTCCGCATTTCCCCTCTCAGCGATGCGCAGCCGTGTATACGGTGACATGAGCCCCTGTACGGTGTGTCCCGTCAGTCGTCAGACCCTTCCTCTCGTTGACACACGACGAAGCCTGTTGGTAGCCTGGCCTGGCGTGGCGCCTTTTGGCGGTCTCGCGCTGCCTGTCGGTGACGCAGGGTTCCTCTCCGGCGCCATGCTGTTACCTGTACCATGGCAGGAACGCTGCAACTCTTTCGGTCGTTACAGCCTGCCTCTCAGACGCGCAGTTTTGAGACGGAACTTTGAGGATACTGTTAGTCAAATTCGAAGAGCAGCCCTTGTGCGACAGTGTTTGAGGGAAGGCTTCATAATTTTCCACTGTGCATGTCCCTCCCCAACTAATTATGTTAAGTTACGCCCCCGCTCCCTCTCGGTAATGCGTGTCGCTAAATCCACGTGTTCCCTGACGGTGACAATGTAGCTCCTCCAGCGATCCAGCGTCTCTGACCCGTCCCCCTCTCCACTGCCGACAGCCCGTGCCCCGCTCGGCGGCTGTGGGCCCGCTGCCTCGGCCCGGCTCGGGCCCCACGGCGCACGTGCACACGTACTCCCGAGGGAAGTCGCTCAGCCGGCGCGGCAAGCACCCGGCAGGACCGGAGTTCTCCAACCGCCATCAGACGAACAAGGTCAGAGGTCAAACGGGTGCTGGGTTGCTAGGTAGACAGGGTCAAACGTCAAACCAACGTTGACGAACAGGGTCAGAGGTGAAATGAGTGCCGGACGAAAAGGGACAGAGGTGACACCAACATCAGACGAGCATGGTTGGGGGTCAACCAAGTGCTAAGCATACAAGGTCAGAGATCACACCCACGCCAGACGAACAAGGTCTGAGTTTGAGCCAGCACAAGACCAGCAGGGTCATGGGGCGATGCATGCGCCAGCCAAGCAAGGTCAGAAACGAAGCCTGCGCCTGAGATGCCATGTCGAGCAAGCGGACAAAAAGGGCGCATGAGCTTGAACTGACACCAGACAAGTAAGGCGAGTGATTCAAAACGCGCGAAACAAGCGAAACACATACAGACGTAATGCAAGCAACACAGAACGAGACACAAAGTTAGTCACAGACCATTTTCAGAGGAATGACGGTCTGGGAAGGTAACATGGGCAAAAGCCACGCAGCAATTACACGCATCGACGCTTCTGTATTCGACGATGCACTGTTTTCCAAAGGATCGTATATTAGCCGATTCCGCGTAGTTTTTATGTAGACGGCCGCCACGTCGAAGACACCGAGGTTTCAGGTGCACTTTATTTCATGACCGCCCATCGCCAACACCGCGCCTCAACTCCTCGTGAATGCTGGCGGGAAAACAACGAAACCTCGGAAATGAACAGGCTAGACCTAGAACTAAACAGAGCGCAAGCCGACAGAACAGAGACTAAAATTAGCAATACAAAATGATTACGAAAATGGCATGGATTGACTAACACCAAATTAGACCTCAAGATAATAGCAAACTAAGTGACTCAACAAACGAGAAACGAGCAGTAAGTCAAACTAGACATGCGAACGATACACCGACTACACTTAACTGGACGGCTCGTACACACTTGACCCGGTCAAGTGGTTTTCCTGGTCGCAGATGCGAAGGAAGCGTTTCAATGTGATGTGATTCCCCGAATACGGTAGTTACCTCGATTGCCCGCTTTCTGACCTTGCTGCGAACCGCGCTGGAGCTCGGTCGCGTGCCGTCCACAACGCCCACCAACACGCCAACAACATTCATCCGTTCATATCTGACCTCACTACCGATATCAAAGTGTCACGCGATATTATGCTTCCGCCGCCGGAAAACAGCATCCACCAGGTCATGTCTGGCTTTGTTACAGATGGTGAAGGAGCTCAGTCACGTGATCTCGTGTTTCCGTCACCTGGCGGTGGGCCTGGGCTCGGCCGGCGACGGGCGCCAGCTGCGCTCCGACCTGACCTGCCTGCGCCTGCTCATCAGTCACCTGGTGAAGGTCATACGGGTCACGCTGGAGGCACACACCAGGAAATGGTGAGCATGCCGAAACTCTGCTTCCCGTGTGCAGCTGTGGGCGGTCCGAAGGTCGTCTTCTCCATAAGCCTGCTGGAATATCTCTAGTCACATACTTCTGACAAATATGGTCCTGATTTCTGAATTGGTTGATTAAAGCATAATTGTTTTACGCTCGATTGGCTGCGTAGGTATGTCTCATTGATGCTGCTCGTGAAAAGCGTGAGCCATTTCTCAGGCCAATCCCAGACCATTTCTCAAGCCAATCTCAGACCTTCGCGCCGCGATTCAGACAATTTGCCGAAATACGGCGTTCGTGCCTGATTACACCGCACAGGGTGAAGAGCTTTTCGAAAGAGCCCAATATATTGTTAAAGCCCAATACCTTGCTTCACATCTTACGAGCATATGGAAGTTTTGACTTCCTAAGTTTTCTGTGGTTTCTACGACAGAAATTCAAACGCAAGTTCTCTTACCTGCTGAAATTACACCTCGATACTGTGGTTTCTACGACAGAAATTCAAACGCAATTACTGCAAACGACCAAACGACAGCGGCGTGACGAATAAAGCAAATAATTTACGCTACCAAAATTCAAACGCAAAGGCTTCCGCGACTTAACTTCTGATGGAGAAACTTCTGACCATAAACTACTACGCGTCAGCATCTCTAACGCCAAAAAAATTATACGAGATATTAATTCTGACAACTTCCTAACCGCGGAATTTTGTGGAACGGAACTTTCAACGCCAAAGGTTATACGCGGCAATAATCCGGCGCGGCAAAGCTCCTGACGCAAAATGTCTAAACGACGCTGCTTCTGACGCATGAATAGCTCGTCCATGACAACCTGAAACTTATCCACGATGAAGCTTTTGACAGAAAAGGTCAACTCCAAAAACCCTGTAATGCAAAATTCTCAACCGCACACTACTCCTAAGGCAAACACTGGTGCTGTTTGACCATCCAGGTGGCAGCACTGCTGCTGCAACAGGTACCACGTGATGTTCACAGTGGCCGTGGCCTTGCTGATAGCCGGTGTGTCAACAAGCCAAAGGGTCCCGAGCTCGAATACCGACCATGTCAACGATCGGTTTCCAAATGCCAAAAAGGATCACCATAGAGGCTCTTCGGTCCTATGCGATCAAAACTGCTTCCATCAAGCCCTGCCAACTTTCCCCTCTAATTTATCTCAGTCATTTATCTCATCTGCCTCAGCCCTCGCCATTGCACACAATTTCAGCACGTTCGATGGTGCTTATCTCATTCCACCGTAGAACATTACCTCCAGTCGATTACATTGGTTTTGTCAAGCCGAGACATATTACGAGTTCGAATAAAATCCAATGTAACGTCATCTTGGGCCATTAAACGAAACCAGATTGATGGTGAATAAGGCAACGTAGGTGTCAGGCTCGAAATCATCGTCCAAAACATTTCAGGCATGGCCTGCAATAAAAAATTCATCCGAGGTCTTCTATAGTCAGTGGTTTTGGTAGACCTTGGAGAGATCATGAACCTGAAGGTGGAAAAAGCAGTGACGACAGTGACAGCCAGCCGCAGCACGAACAGTAGCATTGCCAGTGGAAATGGCAGCACCGGAAGGGCACACACCAATGAACACTAGGTCGCCCAGAAGGTGGCAGCCCCAGAAACGCCCAGACAGCTCCTCGGAGAGGGTGCTGGGAGCAAGTTACCTTTTGTTTTTAAGATATGTGCTTGGTTTAATGTTGGGATGTGAAGGGTTACTCTTCAGAATGCGCTCCCCGTCTGTGCGATGAAGCCAGCTTACTCGGTTCTGAAAATGCAGCTGACGAGCTGTGCCGGTGTTGTTCGCGATACCTTATTCACTAATGTTTGCCTTGTTGCCGTGCTGGCCGTCTGCAGTGCCAGCACCCTGGTGCCGCCGCTCGTGCTGCCGCTGGCCGTCCCAACGCTGAGGCTGCCCGCTCCGCCACTGCTGGTCTTGTTGATGCTGCTGCCTATTCGCACAGCGAACTTTTTGTGCCTTAGTTTTACATCAGTCGCCACGCAGAAAAAGATGCTTACCGGCTTTTTCTCTGTGTGTACTCAACGACACCGAGATGCTTCAGTTTTTTTTGTCTGCTGCCATGCAAAGACTAAGAGAAAGCCGGTAAACCACAGCCTGGTATCCATAGCATAAATTAATAGCTCAGATCCTTGTCACTCAACGCCAAAAAAGCAATACAATTCATCCTTTCCTCGGGTCTACCACCCCGTCCAAAACAGTAAACAGCTTCAGTTGCTGTGCAGCCGTGCAGTAAAACTTAGCAAACGTCGATCAGTATTTGCTCAGCGCCCTCATAAAACCGGGCAGTCTCGGTATGATCCACATAAAACTGAACATGAACTGATCAGCGTGTAGTCGGCGCCAGAACAGAACAGCGGAGGATGCTCAATCTCCAGTTCGACAGCAGACAGGCTAACGAGTCGAGGCTTATCGGTGGAGCGGGCCGTTTATCGTGACTTTGGGCGGGGCAAACGCCGCTCACACGCCGAACAGAGGTCTGGCGGTCACACCCAGTGATAGGGAATTGAACTGATCGGTTGCGGAGCAAACCCCGGAGCAAACTTAAGAAAAGTCGACAACAAGCCTAGAATTATTGATGGGTGGTATGATGCCACTCGATGCAGAAGCGCTTATAACAGGCTAAATGCCGTGTATGCCATGCAAGTAAGATGTTATTAAAACTTATCCATATGCATTTTAAACTGTCCGTAGTAATTCCAATAGTCAGTCAACCAAAATTCTCAAAAATTGCATGGTGAGTCACAGCTTTATTTCACTGGACATGCATGACCGCTGCGGGTCTTAAAGATGCAGAATCATATCTTACGTGCACCTTCGTGTATTTTAACAGTCGCATGCCATTATAACATATTTGCCAATAAACGATGCCTCCCCTATGATAATGGAATATCCAGAAATGATCATTTTTGAAGCCAGTCCTGATTGGGGATCCCGGGTCAGGATCAGAAAAACCTCGGGATTAACATACATATAATTGGAAGCAGTGCCGCGAGAAAGTTCTTCCGTAAGGTATTTTTCTTGGTAGAAGTGCTGTTCGTATATTTTTGCGTTGGAAGGTGCATTGTTGAGCAGATGGGATTCTCAATTCCTGCATTAGATGTAATGAAGCATAGCCATTTTACGTTAGCAGCTTTGCCGCGTAAAAGTACCGTAGCATAGAAGTGTTTGGTGCCGGTGGTTGGTGGCGTAGAGCTCTTGGATTATAAGTTTTGTCGCTTAGAAGTTTATGCGTTGCGCGTTCTTGAATTAGAAGTAATGCTGCACGAATGTCGTTGTGTTCAAAGTTGTTGGATGTAGAGATATGCCTTATGATGCTTGCATTGCAAGCAATATGGCGGAAAGCTCGTGTTGTGGAAGTTCTGTCATTTCAGCATTTGCCTTATAAATATCGTCGGCATACCAGGACTCAGCAGCGCATTGCGGGTCATGTTGGTGCGGGCCCCGCGAAGTGTCGCAAAGTTCCACCCGTGCGGAACAGCTGCCGGATCGCGTGGGAAAGACTCAGGCCGTTCTAAGCGGTGCGCGAGCCCTCTGGCGCTTGTGGTGCGAGGACGTTCCTGTTAAGAGGATGTAGTGTGTCCGCTCCGCGATTTCACGGCGTTTGAGGGTCGAATCAAGTACGCTTAGCTTTCTGCATGCGATTTTGTGCTTTAACTCACCTCGCCAGATTGCGTATGCGCGCGTTCAACAACATCGGGTCTCCTGGAGATTGGGCGGAGAGTCCCCCACGTTCTGAAGGTGGGGTGGGGGGGGGGGGGGCGCTTACGTTCCCTCCCCTTCCCACCTCCGGTGTCACCGTCCCTGTTTCCAACGTGTTCTTGATGTGCTCTACCCGCGCATGGCAACAGGCATTGGATATCATCGCATCACACAACGTTCCGAGATAATTCTGCCCTCTCATTTTTGACGCGAAATCTCTCCGGATATTCTTGGTGATCTGATCTGTAGCGAGTTGTAACTCGTCGAACACATGTTTATGGGATGTTCCCAGCGTTAGCCACCACGCTTTCTAATTCAACCAGCTCGCACAGAGTTGCTCAAACACAAACATTCAGCTGGAGCACAGCATCCCACTTCAAAGCTTCAGTTTTATTGCACCAACTTCTAGATGAAAACCAAGTTTGTTTGCATGTGGCCTGCGGTTCTACGTCCTTGACAAGCAAAGTTCCCGTTAAAACGGTTTAAGTGCAGGGGTGCGTTCGAGAGAAGGCACCAGAGTACGCCCCCTCCCCCTATTTAAAATGCATGATGAAGGCTGGCACGACACAAAATAAGTAAATTTAGCACAAGGAATGTTGTCGAACGCCACACAAGGAATTTCACGCCCACACGGGGCGCTGGAATGTCTTTTTAATAGGCAATTTGGGTTTTCCCTCCCATGGGAACATCCCTCATATGTCACTGCATCGGTGCCGGGCCCTGTATAAGTGCCCCTGTATTCAATATACATTGTTTCCATCCTCAGCTCACGAAACGCTGTCACTGTTTCAGGGTGCTGTACAAAGAGTCGGATAGGAGGGAACTGGTAAGAATCAGCAACATCTTCTACAGCTGCGTCACCATATTCAGTAAGTTGACGTGACGTCTTCCGACTCATTCTTTTATATTCTCGGTTGGCATGTTTGGTAGATGGCGGACAGGCAGCTACGAAATTAACGAGGCGCATTACTTAGGAGCTGCGAGTAACATGTCCTCATTTCCGGTAGATCTCATACAGATTGTGTAGGTGCATGACAAGGCGGCTGTGACGTCGTTTATGGTTCCCCTCATTATACACTCCTCTCGCTGGCCATTTGCTTGAACACTGCAACATTTAGGCAATGCTAAGTGCCACCACAACGGCTGTGACTTACTTCGTGCAGTGCGATGCAGTGAACCTAAACATGAAGTGCAAAATCAGCAATATATCTTCGCTGCCTTTACCCAGTACTGTCATCGGCAAGTTGCTTTTCAAATCGCAATGTTTGGTCTCTCTCCTTTATCTCTTTCCCCCCTAAAGCTCCGAATGTGTTGAAGACCTGCGTGAATGTAATATTCCATCCTATAAAATGACTATATTTATCTCTTCCTTCTCTGAAAAGTACGAGTCCGACACCTGGACTCACTCGCAGAAACGCGACAGTAACAGTAAAATAGAAGAAATATTCCGTTCTCACCGCCACATGGAGCTCATAAACATAAATACACCGAAATATATAATGTACCACTTATTGAACTTGATATAGCGAAAATGACCTTCGGCTCCTGATTTTTTGGCAGCATCATTCCAAATAAGGTCTCACGCTGAGTTATTGAGATATCGATCATGTACCAGGAGCTACCGGTTACACGTTGCTATAGAGAAAGTGTCGTTTGCATTGACATAGAAATACGCGTCAAGAACTGGAAAGCACCATGTCAATCATACGGCAAAATCTTCTGCCGTGAACGGGTTAATAAAACAATCCAGTGCATGACCATTCCACTCAGCACAAGCTGTACGGAAGCTTTGGCGAGCATGTACAAAAAAAGGTTTATATCAATGATAGGCCTCTCAGTGGCATACCAATACATGACCATTCCGCACTAATTTTGAGAAAACGTGCCGTCACATGATAGACAGGGTTGCCCGGCGTCTCGGAAATCTTCCTTTGTTTTTTTTTTTAATGCAGCGTACGACAGTTGATAGGCACGCAAAAGAACTAAAAACTTCCAGCTGGTTAACGTCTTCTGTCGTGTGTTAGTACCGTCTGTGTATGACAGGACGTCTGGGGCTACTTAAAGAAGAAAGAAGTCAAGTGCTGTTTTCAAATGTTGACCGCATAATTTCGGCTCGAAGATAAACACAACTAATTTGCTTATAATATCCTGTTCGTGATGCGGTTTCACTCCTCACTTTTATTGATATAGATAGCATAAATATAGGTCCTGCCGTTTCACCAGAGCTTGTTTTTTGAAAATATTCCCAAGGTGGAACACTCCCTTTACAAGCAATAAAGAGCCCGACAAAGAAAGAAAGGTAAAGACTACCCTACAAAGCGCCTCGATTCCTCCGAACTCGTTTGATGCACATTTGCTGTCTTTTGTCGTGATTCACCAGGAATATTTCCACAATGTTTCGTTTTGGTATTTCGTCCTACTCTTTTTTCTTTGTGCTCCTTTTTCGGCGGATTAGCTGATAACATCGGCGGGTGGCATCCTTGCTTTGCTATAATGCACTTAGCATTTTGGCCGGCACTCATCATATCTATAGAATGACTGGTGGGGAAAGGATGAAGTACGCACTAAATGAACTAAAATGTGAAATAATTGGTAAACAAATGATGCGTAAGTTATGAATAGATAAGTACTAATAAACTAATGCAATAATAACTGAATGGTGCCTGCCGAACTAGTGTGATTGGGCAAAACACTGCTTATATTGTGACTCTGCACTGTTCCGCCCAGCGTGCTTCAGCCGTGGTCCCTCTTCTCAGCCCAGGACATGAGGCGTTCGCTCGAGCTGCACACGATCTTCGTCATCGGCGGCACCGCGCACGCCGGCTTCATCAACACCGGCGTCAGCGGCTACCACAGCTTCATGCTCTCCGAGCGCGAGTTCGGCGAGCAGAGCGAGGACGCCGACGACGTCAACAACGTCCAGATCCAGAAGTGAGCAACTGCCGCCGTGGCCTTGGCTCTGGGGGCGTGGAGAGACGGAAGGTGGCGCCAGCTTTAGATGCGGAAGAAGCTCCCGGGCGCTGTCACAGGCGCAGAGAGGCGGATGTGTTTCGAGAGGGGACGGAAATGTATCAAGTGTCCATGCTTCTATCTTCCGCTTCGTCTGCTGTTGGGTTTCCTTCCCAGCACGTGCAACCTAGAGGGATGCAGGTCAATAGAATTGCAAGACCTTTTACTTTGTAGAGGTTTGCGAGCATTTCCGTGCCTCCCAGCTTTTCTTCGGGGTATGAATTCTCGTGCCCAGGTGCCCAGGTAGGCGTTGCAGGGTAAGGGACGAAGGAGAAGCACATGTCATTGCGTAATCAGCGGCTTAGGTCCACTCGCAAAAGCACACTAGAACTTCGCCTCTTACGTCCCGTGCGGGACGCTCTCTTCTTGATGCGTTTTGGAGTGTTGCGGGCTGGCCTACCAACACAGGGTAACGTAGCTTCGTTGCTGCAGTCTCCGGATTTGTAACATGGAGTTTTCCTGGCTCGTCGCTCTGGCCAGGTTTCTGGCCGCAGTAATCTTTGAACACCAGGCAATGCAGTTTAGATACATATCTTCATTTACGATAGAGCACATCCAGGAAAAAGGTGATCAGTCACGCACAGCAAAAAATAGTACAACAATCTATCTCCGCATCGGTAACGACCACGAGGAAGTACATCACGCCGGCTAGCGGCAAGAAACGCCATAACACAAGACTAGGGCGAACAGCAACAGAGCATAGAAATGTCAGGACCACAAACGCGGGAGTCGGGCCATCAGCTTCGCCCGGAAAAACGCTCTAAGGTTCCCCCGGGGAAACCCCTCCGGTTGTACGATCGGCACAAATTTCCAGTAGCCTGTGGGCGCATCCATTTCGCGTGTTTTGCGCCAAAACGTAGGGCCCTAGGATTTCCGTTTTTGGAGTAATGGCGGCTTTGAGGAGCACTTAACGGCGACGTATGGCCGGCGCGGACTGCGGCCGGCAGGTAGCCAGTCCGCGGACCGCCTGCGGTGGGCCGACATTGCTACATTAACGGAGCCATGAGCTCAGCGAGAACGCATCACGCCGATGTTTTTTTTTTGTCAGGAGGTATCTATGATGGCAAAAATCGGGGTCTATGGAGAGCTGCCACCCACCCCTGGCTCCTACCCTGCTTTGCTATTTGTTCATGATTCGTGCTGCAATGTCAGCAATGCTTCGTTTTAGCAGCATGTTCTCTTTTTTCGTTCCACATGCCAGCTGATGACATCACCAGGTGGCACATTTTCCTTCCCCTTACGCCATGCCCTACAGTTGGCGGCTGGAGCTCTGTACTGACTCCGCATCTTCCGCGGCACTCACCACTACTAAATTGTGTCTGCGGAATTTGCGCGACCCAGCCTGATCCGCGCTGTCGCCTACAAAAGTGTTCTATAGTCTGCTCGCGACAAATTGTAAGGTGACTTGTCGGGACGAATTGTAGAGACCACCGTTTCCAAATAGGAATGATATGCAATTTAGGAAGTTCTTTCTTTTTGTGTGTTATTTCATGATTGATGTATACATTGTACACACGATTGGGACTTCAACAGCTTTAGGCCCCATTTCCTTCAAAAGCGTACAAATCGGAAAATAGGCTGAAAGGGCGTAAAATCGCTAAATCTACCCCTAAAATACAAGAAGAGGTGTTAACTCCCCGGATGTCGCCCACTTTCTTCACAAAGTTGGGAGTTGCAGCCCTCTTCCCTCCAACTGGACAGGAAACAACCCCTGGCTTATAGTCAACTGTTGGATCCACTCTAATGACGAAAGTGAGAAGCAGTCAGATACATTCATGTTCCTTAGTGTATTGATGAGTACCAATTCGGTGTCATTTACTAGATTAAACATCAGGTGAACTTGGCCTCCCTGGGTTTTGGGACAGGCTGTCCGTGGTGATGACGTTCAGCAGTAGATATCACTTCACACGTCCCCAGTCGCACGACAATAACATTTGGCGCGCCCGGCTCAGAATGTCCCGTAGAACATCGATTTTTTGCATTTTTTGTACGGTCTTCTAAAACCGAGACCATATGTCAATGACCTGACGTGATGTCAGCTTGAAATTTGCTGGTAACGTGCTAAAAAGTTGTCGAACTAAAATAGGCAGAAGTGCATTAAAAAATGTGCGCACGCCGCAGTTCGAGAAACACCACTGACAAACCAGAACACAAAAAACGGCGATTTGAGCCAGCGTCTTGCTTCGGGAGGGTGCGGGGTCAGCCTGAGAGTAATCCTTTCCCCCAAGAGTTGTCCGCTTCGATAATAATTATTAAGACTTGCTGGATGCCGGCCGCTAATGAATAAAAAAAAACTGATGACCGATTGCTATTCAGAAACCGATCAGTGGCTGTTATTCCGTTAGAACACCAAAATACAACCAGGTATCAGCTTTATAATTATCTGTATCGCTCTTGAACATTGCAACAATGTTGTCATATGCTTACGTCAACTGTCATGTCAAATAACCCGCTCTCGTAAATTAAAGCCTAGTATCCCGCATTAACACTCCTCTACGACCATTCCGCAGCACCATAAAGGACATGGACATCATCAGGGAGGAAATCAAGAACCTGCCCTGGTACACCGTGACCTGGTCGCCGGAGCAGGCCAACAACTTGTCCGGTCACGACGCAGTCTCAATAGAGGAGGTCAGTCAAACGGGTGACGGCCGCGGGAGAACGAGGGGAGGGATAACAGGAGCGGACGGACCTGGAAAGAAGGAACGGAGTTCGAGGGGAAAAGGTTGGAGCTAAAGGAATAGAGAGCAGCTGAAGGAGCCATGGGGAGCTAAAAGAAAAGCGTGTAGTGTAAGGAAAGAAAATAGTGACAAGTTGCTTTGGCTTGATTCATAACATGAGGAAATAGGAGCGAAAGTTAATGGAATGGAGGTGATAAAGAATGAAGGAGGCGGATCTCTATGCAGCGTAGGGGACGAGCAAGAACAAAAGGGAGCTAGATATCACGGAACGGTGCTGAGAAGACCAATGCCAGTCAAACTAAACGAATGGGAAGCTCTGATGCAGGAGGAAATTGAGAAGGACGGGGTCTTTGCCACAATGCACTCGCTTCAGTCACCTTGGTTCCACGACGCTCTTAAACGGTGTGAGCGGGAATAACGGTCATGCCGTTGTTCCATTAAAAAAGAAGCGCGATCGGAATACAAGTTTGAATAAATTGTCCGTGAAGAGTTTCCACACATTGCAGATCAATTTCGGATGTTATCACCTTTCAGGCTTTGATGTCACCTGACAGTGATCGCGCTCGCCATGACTTGATGGCGATCATGACCAGAGTGGATCCTGAGATGCACCCTTCTACTTTGCAGGATCAGGTCCTGCTGTTTCCGGGTGCCGCCGGCTCGCCTTGGTTTCTGATGTTCTTGATCGCCTCCATTTTCCTGGTGGTTGCCTCGGTGCTGACATACACGCTGGTACTGTTTTTGCACTGACGCAGTGCCCGCTGCACCTACTTGTGCCATGTGATACGAATCTGACCCCACGCCTAGAAGTTTGCGCGGTGGACTCAGAATGTGGACGCGGTGGACTCAGGATGTGGACGCGGTGGACTCAGGATGTGGTGGGAGCATCTGTATGAGCATTCCTGTCCAGTGTATAAGCACCATCATTTGGCGTCTCACCAGTCATGTTCTCTTCTGAAGTTGCGTTGGCTCATGCCGAACTAGCTTTGTGCCTCTGCCGTCCCAAGAGAGTGATGGCGGGTCCCCGCTGTCCCGTGATGTGACGGCATCTCCCGGAGGTCTCCGTCAGCAGCGTGCGTCATTGATGGCCCGTCGTGGTACGCTCCACCGGACCGCGTTTTCGTGCCGCGCTCGTGCCACTCAGCCGGAACAGGAAGCTCGCTAGGGTCCAGCCGCCCGGGGAGGGTATCCTACGAGACCACATCGAGGGGCGCTGGCTGTTCCGGCTCAGGCGTTTGTGGACGCCCCGCTGGCGGACGGTGTGTCAGTGGTCCTGTGCGATAGCCGAGCGGTGTGCCAGCGGTCCCGTGCGATAGCCGAGCGGTGTGTCAGCGGTCCCGTGCGATAGCCGAGCGGTGTGTCAGCAGTCCCGTGCGATAGCCGAGCGGTGTGTCAGCGGTCCCGTGCGATGGCCGAGCGGTGTGTCAGCGGTCCCGTGCGATAGCCGAGCGGTGTGTCAGCAGTCCCGTGGGATAGCCGAGCGGTGTGTCAGCGGTCCCGTGGGATAGCGAGCGGTGTGTCAGCGGTCCCGTGCGATAGCCGAGCGGCGTGTCAGTGGTCCTGTGCGATAGCTGAGCATTGTGTCAGCGGACCCGTGCGATGGCCGATCGATGTGTCAGCGGTCCCGTGCGATAGCTGAGCAGTGTGTCAGCGGTTCCATGCGATAGCCGAGCGGTGTGTCAGCGGTCCCGGGCGATAGCCGAGGGAGGCGTCAGCGGTCCAGTGCGGTAGCCGAACGGTGTGTCATTGGTGCGTCAGCGGTGCGTCAGCAGTGTGTCGCCAGTGTGTCAACGGTGTCTGTGCGGTGGCCCGTGAAGTTTGCGCCATCCGTCCAGTGTCGGTTTGTGGGAACAGTGTACCGTACCAGTAATGTCTCCCGCTACCCCGAGGTGAAGCATGTGGTGCTGACCGGAAAGGCATCCGGCCTGAGGATTTCTGACATCGCTGGGGATAGTTCAGAAGCGTTCGAGCATCTGTATGTGTCAAAAACGGTGACATATTTTAGTGCGATGATTAAGTTGGTGGGATTCATCGTTGGAGTTCAATGGTCTCTTGAAGATAAGCCCAAAGCACCGGATGGAAGAATGCTCAGAGAAATGGTCACAAGTGGCTTTAAGGTGTGCTGGTGAAGATTTTTTAGGTTGAATTGTTGTGTGTCATGCAAATGGATGTCGGGCAGAATAAATCAAAACATATGTTCCATGCAGATGTTTCCATGCAGTCTACTCTGTTCATTCATATCTGTCATTTGACGGAAAGGGAAGTTCTTCCAGCGCGCCGTACATTTTACACAATAATTTATTCTGGATGCAAAAACACTGTAGCCTGAGAGCTGGCCTTCCGGCAATCAACACGTCGACTCTTGGATGGATTTTGCTCCTCACTCCACCCAGTTTTGACAGACGACTGCTCCAGACCACACCCAGGCAATCAAAACAACCGGGCTACCGTCTGCAGCGAGCATTTTCGTTTTGTTTCATCGGGGTTTCAGCTGAAAGATTGCGGCCGAACCCAATGACGCAACTTCCGGTCGGCCGAACTGACTTCCGGCTGACCAAGAACGTCCAGAGCGTGTCATTCAATTATATACTTCGTCAAGCGGACGGTGAGGAACGGCAGCATATCCAATAAGATGGCGTCAACACCAACACACGCTCGAGGAAACGCGGCATTGTTGGTGCAGCGCGCGGACGTCACATTCTGGAACAGTTAATCAGTTGGCAAATGCCATTTTTGTTCTCACCTTAGCTCACTATGTGAGGGGTGGTAGACCAAAAAAAAAATTGTGATGGTGAAAAGAAAGAAATTGTGATTCTTGCTACAGCACCAAATTTTCTCGGCCACGCACCTGTGCATCACGCATCAATTTATGATTCACCCGCATGACTCGCTGCATGACACGCACCAGGAAGGTTCATTCATCACGCATCCCAGAAAAGTTGAAATCCCTGTCTGGCAAAAGCCCACATTCACCGGTCTCAGACTGAGTTCTTCTCCTTCCTTCCCGATGCTTTTAAGCTATGTAGCTGATGATAGCTCTTCACAGAGCATTCAGTTTTCCAATTAGACATTCTTTTGTTCCTAACTTGATCCAATGAGCTCACTCTTTCCAGGATGTGGTTTTGTACTTTCAATCATTAGTGCTTTGGCAAAGATCTGCCCCAATGCAAATAGCTAACAGCACCGTTGTCAAAAAATCCCCAGGTTGTGCGTATACTTCGAATTGGAAAACAGTCGATACAGGTGACATCAGTTTTAAGCCTGCTATGAGTTTTCTACCCCATTCTTTTCCCAACAATTGTGTTAGTGAATTGCCACACAGTTTGATTTTTCAGGGTTGCAAGACATTTAATGGGATCTGCAAATGTATATCCCCTACAAGTTATTGGTCAATAGCAGGGATCCGTGACCCCATTGGGCCCCTCCTGGACGAAATCCTGGGCGCGCCACTGCCTGCAGGCACATGGGGGTAAGATGGGAACACATCAGTCATATGCACGTGGGCGGCGCAGCATGTACCTTCATGCAAGTACCACAGCATGTACCTTAACGCAAGTACCACAGCATGTACCTTAACGCATGCACCACAGCCGGCGGCGCGCCGGTCCATCCAGAATATTGTTTTAAGCGAACGCAGCGCACGTCATCATGCACTGATGGGATTATGTCGGGATTCGAACCTGGACTCCACGTGGGAACCCGGGCACCTAAAACGCTAACCGGTCGGGCACTACGCCCCTCTGGTCTGGAGAAAAGTGTAGCCTGTCTAGCGTGCACCACCAATCGCTCAACACTTGTTAACTAGGAGCTGCTACGCAGCTCTTTATCTGTGTGCTGTATCCTCGGAACACGAGTATGGATTAATTGCTGGTGGAATAAAACAGCGGTCTGAAAGTAATAGCGCAATTATTTCCTCTTTTCACAGATGCAGTGGAATGTTTTGCTTTAAATGGTAATAGCAAAGGACAAAACGCAGACCACAGATAAGTGCCTCGAGGGTTGAGGGACGCACGCGACAATCTGGATTGGGCGGTGCGTGGTGAAAGCGGCACCTGTTAACAGCGGCTTGTCGGGCAGCTTTCAAACAACCGGATAAGAGGCCGTACAGTTGTAAAATCCGGGCGTAGACACTGACGTCAAGTCATTCTGTCAAACCAGTCAATACAGTCATCGAGTTGTGTCCACGTCCGTAGCGCCATGCGCTTTAGCCGTAAGATATACAAAAACTGTTGCAGTTGAGCGACTGGAACGAAAGCCGAGCTGAGTTGCACCGGAACAATTGATGGCCATGAAAAATATAAAAAAGGTGGCGGTCATTCAAGTGAATAAAAAAAGACAAAAACGACTGAATGCCGGTTCATCCCGGCCAACCGCCGGACCTATTCACTTGACGGCAACCGGCGGCTCCACAAGCGGCGCGACAGTCGGGACGCGATCAGCGAGACCGCGCCACAGTCGGGACGCGATCGGCGACGCTGCGCCACAGTCGGGACGCGACCGGCAACGCTGCGCCATAGTCGGGACGCGATCAGCAACGCTGCGCCACAGTCGGGACGCGATCGGCAACGCTGCGCCACAGTCGGGACGCGATCGGCGACGCTGCGCCACAGTCGGGACGCGATTGGCAACGCTGCGCCACAGTCGGGACGCGATCGGCCAGCGGCTGACCACCCTCAGTGTGGCGCAACTTGCAGCCAGCATTGTATTGTATCGGATTGACCAGGCCATTCTGCATTATTGGGCTATTGTCCGACTTTTGTCAGGATGCACATTGAGAGTCATAACGAGGCCAACATAAGCACAACACAAAGAAGCTACTAATCCTTTTCTCCGAGCATTTCAGTTTTGTACCAAAGTAGGTCCATGCCTGATAAAGCTCGCATGGAAAAGACCAATGCATGTTTCATACGCTTCGTGACAACAGCAACCCCACTGTGTATTTATGTCATGAACAATCTGAACGGTGCGACGCCTGAGGGACAGATGCCGTCTGCAATGCATCGCTCACATTTGTCGCTTTGAGGAGCTTTCACGGTGGAGCGGCAGTGAACAACGCCCGGCCAGAGCCCGCCCACGCAGCACCGCGCATTGTCGTGGTTGGCGCGCCCCTGCCGAGGAGGCGCCATGGGTTTCTTCCTGCTGCAGCTGCAGCTACTGCTGCTGCTGTCCACCTCAGCCCGTGGACTCACCAGCGACCGGTTCAGGCTGGAGGCGGGAAGCACCTTCACCAACGACGCGTTCTCCACCTCCATCGAAGACGAGCGGTGGAAGTGCGCAGTACGCTGCGGGCGTCTGACAGCCGAGCGTTGTGACGGCTTCCGGTACGGGCCAGGCGGCCGGTGCGATCTGCTGGTGGACAGGCTCCACTGCCTGCCCGCCAGCCCGGCGCAGAGCGGTGGGACGGTCAGCTACTCAAGGCAATCCACCAACCGCGCCGAGGATCTCTGCGCCCCCGGCTGGCACCCCTTCAACGGCAAGTGCTACTTCCGCACCGCTGAGCCGACCAGCGCCGGGGGTGACCACGCCGTCTGCTGGAGGGAGTCCGCGTGCGCGCGGGCCGTCTCCGTACACAGCGAGCTGGAGATGCAGTACCTGCTGCACCACGCCAGCCGGGCCTTCTACAGGGAATGGCTCGGCGCGATGAGGACCGCTCCGCCGTCGTGGACGAACCCGGACGGCACCGACTTCGGGTCGGCGATCGAGGTGACCTCGCCCAGCAACCGCAGCGGCGACTGCCTGTACATGCCGGG